CCAATGGTACACAGTGGCTGAACTGTAGGATAAATAAGGGCTTCGATAACCCCAACCGCTCTGCTAGGGACCCTACGATGATCATGTGAACCTTAATATTAGGGTCCTGGTTATAATAGGGGTTGGACTCGCCAAAGCCCTTCATTTCAAGATAATATCGACTATAGTCAACTGGATCTTCTAGTAATAAGGCTTAGGGTTTAGGGTATAGGGCTAATCGAAACCTTAAACCCGTAAACCCTAAACCCTAGATTTAAGTGGAAACTTAGGATGCTTTTCTGAGCCACGACTGGGCTTCAAGCGGATTGCTCAAATTCCTGTCGCTGTACCTGCGCGGAGGAGTTACAGACTATGGAAGTTACGTACGTATAATGAGGTTTAGGTTTTAGGAATATTTGGAAGTCATACACATGTCGTAAATGTAGCTTAGGCTCTAACTGTATGTATTTGCATAAGTCTAATTGCGGCCGAAGGTTGAGGGTACACATTTACATGTACGTATGGGCGGGAACGTTGGGGTGTTCGGTGGGCCTACCAGGCGTAGGGTTCGTTTCTTTTCAAGACATACTTGAGGTTGTTGTTTCAATGGTTTAGGGTTTAGGGTTCAGGGTTGACATAGACTTCAGAAAGACAGGCAAGGAGAAGAGATCACTCCGCGCTTCTCTCTTTTTTGAGCTGTTGCAATAATGTTCCCAGATGATACTGATTGACAGCAGTCCCATTGTTGATATCGTGTTTTACAGCATTTCTGCCCCGAATTCTTGCAGCCTAGCAGTGCATGTTCCCAGCTTTGCAGCAAGCAATGCTCTAACTTGGGTACTGCCCTCGCCCAGTAACAGTCTATATTAGGGGTCCTATTTAGGGCTATATATAACCATAGTATAATTATCATCCAACTGTTACTGAGGGGGGGGGCAGTACCCAAGCTCTAACACATTTGATGAGGTCATGAAATCGGTAGCCAGTGAGAGGAGTTCTTCTTCGGGTGAGGGGCTCCAGTGTGGGGATGAAATGGGTAGACGGGGAGAGGGATTCTAGTTACGGGCAGGGGCTTGCCAAGGCTCATCATCCACAATTCTCGCGCGGCTTTTGTTTCATGCTTGCTGGTAAGCGTCGTCGTTGGCGTGCTGAGAGGGTATGGCATCATGCCGAACGAGGCTGGGAGAAAGGATTCGCAGAGCTGGGGTTTAGGGTCTAGGTTTATGGGGTGTAGGTTTAGGGTTTGGGGTTTGGGTTTACACCATAACCAGGATAAGGGCTTAGGGTTTAGGGTTTGGGGTGTAGGGTTCAGGGTTTAGGGTTTAGGCCCTACTTACCGCCAGTAAGCCAATCTATGCCTCAAGGCATGGACCGTGTCCTTCGGTCATGCCGCCTTCTTCTGTGCTCCTTGCATTTTTGTTCGGGTACCCCAGCCGTCTGTAACTTGTTAGGTATAAGGGTTTAGGGTTTAGGCGGATAAGGGTTGAGGCAGTTTAGGGTTGAGACGGTTTAGGGTTTAGAGGGAAGAGGGATGGACAATCAATCGTACAAGCGCCTGCGCCAGGATACTGGACCAACCTGAAGCCCTGAACCCTAGATAGCTGCAGGTAAGCAAAGGCAGGCGTCCTCAACCCTAAACCCTAAACCCTAGAAACAAAATCATCTTTGTACTGTGGGGTTGGAGCCGAAGGTTATTGCGCTGTAGGGTTCAAGGTTAAGGTGCTGAACACGCGGTTAAGGTTTACTTGGAGGTTCATGGGACTTAGTAACTACTTGTATCTGGGGTTATAACCCTTCTTATAATTGGGGTAACCCCTATAAGCCCATTTAGGGGGGTGATAAGTAGGGTTATAAGCCCAGTTATAAGTAGTTACTAATTCCCATGAACCTCCAAGTAGGGTTTAGGGTAAAGTACAGTCCTAAATCTTGAGCTCTAACCTCCGTGGCAGTTCACCAGAGCTGTTACCGTGATTTTCTGGATCCCGGGTCTTCATATGAGTAGTATTTTACTTGGGGATACTATGGTACCCAATATAGAGTAAGATTATATCCTCGTTTTGGAGTATAGTATTCTATATAAGGAATATTATCTTACTAGGTTCAACCACCAAAAAAAGACTACTCATATGATGGATCAAATCGTAGGTTCCTGGGGCAAAGTGATCCGAACACGCATCGTGTCCATCCGATGATCCCTATCATGGCTCCTGCTTGGTAAAGTACTCTGCTTCTTCTCGTGGTTATTGCTATTGTTGATGTTTCTGGCCCCTAACCCTACACCCTAAACATCCAAGGTTTTTTGTTTCTGGCAGCGGCTGCGAGTTCTTGCCCGAAGACCTTCCATGGTCTTTCTGGACAAGCTGCCTCTGGGCTGGGTGCTTTCTAAGGGAGTTGGGGCAGTTTACGGGCTTAGGGTTTACAATTTAGGGTTTAGAGCTTAGGGTTTCGGGCTTAGGGTTTACGGTTAGGGTTTAGGGCTTAGGGTGTAGGGCTTAGGGTTTACGGTTAGGAATTAGGGCTTAGGGTTTAGCGTTTAGTGGTTGGGATAAAGGATTGCAGGCGGTTTATTTGTTTTAGGGTTGACGGGGTTTAGGTGCTTGGGGGCGTCATGGGTAGGGAACATGCCTGCGCTAAGGAAGTCAACAAAAGACAACACAACTTGTGAGATACTTGAACCCACCATTGCTTCTGTATATATGGGTGGTTGTCAAAATTATGGTCCCTTTTTGGGTCCCTATTATAATACGGCCCCTAATATTTAGGTTACCCAAAAAGGGACCATAATTTTGACAACCACCCATATATAGCACTGATCATGTTTACTTGTGCAATCTCCAAGTAGTGCAGGCCTTTTGGAGGCTAAGAGCTGGCGCTTGAGGGGCGGATGCAAGATTTCACAACAATCCACTAAGGAGGGAGTATTCAGGGATTATAAGGAGATCATATATGGGGTTTATATGGCGTTGTACAGGGTTATTTAGGGTTTATCACAATTATAAGAGACCTGTATATATACACCCTATAGTCCCTATAAAACCCATTATAGTAGTTTCCATTTTCTTTGCCATTATCCCTGAATAATCCCTATAGTCCCACCTAAACCCTAAACCCTATAATTCCTAAACCCTAAACCCTATAATTCCTAAACCCTAAACCCTAATTATACAACCATCCTCGATGAGCCGTCCTCGTGCCCTCTAGCGATTTTTGCTTCTCAGCCTAGACCCCGAACCCTGAACCTGGTAATGTTCCGTTTACTGTATGCTTGGTGTATCCAGGGTGTAGGGTGTAGGTGGTTTATAGTCCCCCTTAAGTAGATAGAATATGGGATATGTGGGGATCTTGCTATAATATACCCAAAGCCATATTCTATCTACTTAAGGGGGACTATAAGGTTTCGGGTAAACCCTAAACCGTAGAAGCGAAGGTGCGTGGCACAGCATGATGAAGAGCTGCTTGGCTGAGAATGGACGTGTCGAGACTTTAGTTTTGGCAGTCAGCAAATAGTTTTCACGAACCTGAATAGACCCCAACACCCTATAATTAAGGTAATGCCCCCGCTGAGTAACAGTTGGATAATGATAAGTATAATATGGTTTTTATCTGGCCCTCATGCCTTACCTCTACTACAGACAGTCACTGGGTGGTGGCAGTACCCAAACTATAACCCACCCTAAACCCTAAACCCTAATGACCCTAAACTCTAAACCTTCCCGGGGTTTCGGGGAGGATGAGGCTACGCATGCATGCAGGGACCCGTTAGGGCGGGTTGACATATGGAGAGTTTAGGGTTTAGGGTTTAGGGGAGATTAGGCTTACCAAACGACCCTGGGCTTTAGGGTTTAGGCTTACCAAGCGACCTATTGAAGGGTTGGTATAGGGGTCCCTCTTGTAGTAGTGTTGTCCCTAGTATGTTCCCTAAAAAGGAACCCGTGTCCATTAAATTGAGTAGGAAATTCACTGTAGCTCATTCATTTATGCATGCATGCACGCGTGCATGCATGTATGTCAGTATGTCTGTATTTTCATCATGTAATGAATGTAACGTCATGCAATTTAATGCAATCCAATGGAATGTACCGTCATGCGACGTAATGTAACGCATGTAACGCCAGCATAACGCCAGCAGATGTGAAAACATGTCTAAGTGCACATCAGATCCGCCAAGGCCAAACTCGCAACCCTAAACCCTAATCCAAAAGATACACTATATGATCCCTATAATCCCTGTAGTTTCCATTTTCTTTTCCATTATCCTTATATAGCCCCCATATATACCCCTATAACCCTAATCCAAGGCTAAAACAAAAGGGCATCAAGGGGATTGCGGCCTTTCTGCTCAGCTCTCGCCATCTCACTGTGCTGTTGACCCCGCGGTGTCTTGACAGTTCTGGTTAAGAGTCGAGGGTTTGGGGCGTTTAGGGTTTAAGGGGCTTTGCTGCATTAAGTTAGGTTTATGGCGGTTGCATGGTGCGTTCAGTGGGTGCACCCTTTTCCGCAATGATAGATCTTGATCCCTGAGCCTCCTTTTCAGAAGTAGGGGAGTTCGATGAGTCGGGAGGGAGAGCTTAATACTAGGAGGCAAAGTACCTGTTCAAGCGCCAAACAGTCACAAGTTGCACGAGCTCGAAGAAAACTGGCTTCAGTTTTTATTCAGTGCAGCTTGGAGAGCATGAGGCATCTTGGCGAGACTGCGTCGGCAAACTGCAGTTATGATGACCACAACGGAAGCAGCAGAAGAGAGAACACGACCAAACACGAGAGCAAGAAGAAGAAAAGCACCCACGGCAACAACACCGGCCGCAGCAGCGGCAAACAACCGCAACAAAACGAAGAACAACAACAATAAGAAGGAACACATAGAAGCAACGGCGGGAGCATCAACCCGAACAGCAGCAGGAACAACAAGCAGAACAACACTAAACATACAAACCTGAAGAAGAGGAGGAGTAGACACACAAAAATACACGCGCTGCAGGTATTTTTTGCGCTTGTGGTGTACATTTGAAGTTGCCACCTTCATGAAAGATCCCGAGCGGCGGAAGCGTATCCACTTCATGCCCCTCAAGACCACGCTGATTCTCCTGCTGTCCTCTGGATGTTGGTTTGCATTGGCCATCGGCTGGAACGTGTTCAAAGGACATGCCTTGCTGCTGAACATCCATGCTCTCAGGGTTTCTGATCTGAGCAGCAGCTTGCGGAGATTTAGTTGAGGCTAGATTCCCTGCAACAGACGCATGGTAGTTTGGGGAACCCCAGTAGTATAGACACCAACGTAATTGTTATAACTCTTAGTATGGACCCCATAGTGGTACCGTCAATCTTCGGAAACCCGCAGACGTCTCGCGCGAGGACTCTTCAGCGCTTATAGCACTAGAGATATAATCCAGCCTGATGAAGTGCTTTCCGCTTCCGTAACCCTTACTAGTCTGATGCTTGGCCTTTTCAGGTCACATTTTTTCAGGTTTTCGGCTGATGTAATCAATACAAAAGATTGTCTAGGTGCCTTTCAAAACTTTTCACTATGCGCAGAGGGCCGGGATAGAAGAAGAAGTACGGGGATATCTATAGTCTCGAAATCCGTAAATCTACAGAAGATGATGAGCGCCCTTGGAGCATGCAATCAGAAACAAGGATGCTTGTGCTGACAAGCGCCCTGCTCCCCTTCGTGTTCTATTTGGGCCGCTTCGGCCTGCGTTGCGATGGTTTGAGGGTGTACAGCCAACGCCAGGGTTTAGAGCCACACCAATCATGATAATACTCCAGACTGTAAAGCCTTTGGTGAACAGTACGAGAAAACGTCCCTTTATCATTAAGGAGTTACTGGGGAACCTAGTTGAGGTGTACAGACTAGAGTTGAGGCACAAAACCAATCTTGCCATGGCTTGGGCTGAATCGTAGTTTGCAGAACCACATATGTTGTGTGGCAAGCTTAGCTTCAAGCCCTAAAAAGTAAGCCCTCAAGGGCAATATAGGGGTAATACAAGGGTTATATAGGAATAAGAGTTGACGGAGCCAAGGAAGTTGTTTTCATAGAAGTTCTCACATCGGTAGCGTGGGAGTCGAGGAGGTGGTTCAAGGAACTCTGAAGGTTAACGGTATAGGGTTTAGGGCATATAGGGTTTAGGGTTGACAAACCAGGTAATTGCCTGCCAGAAAGACCGAGAGACAGGTTCCCCTCCTTTTCAGCCCTCTACATCGCAAGAGCCTTTTCGTGAAGCCCTAAGCCCCAAACCCTAAATTTTGGTGCAGTCTTGCGCAATGCTCAAGGCATGGGCATCATAGCTGACCTCCAGGAGATACCCGAGCAGCTGGCTCACTTCCATGTCAAGGATGTGAGGGTTTCGTCAACATTAGGGTTTAGGGTTAAGGGTTTCCCAAAATTTGGGTTACCTTTTCGGAGCTCCCTGCAATAAGGATTATTGTGTTAAGGGGTCTATATCGGGGTCTCCCTTCTGGAAAATTACCATTTGTCAAAGAAGGGTGACAACACACAGTAGGTTGTCAAGAATGTGGTCCTTTCTGGGTCCCAGACACATTGCGGCCCCAAATTGTTGGGGAACCCGACAAGGTATCATATGTTTGACCATCTCTCATGCACATAATGATCAAGGATTGAATAGAGGACGCCCCTGGGCTCATGGCAGTCTCGCTGGTTCTTCTTCAGTGCTTGTTGATGCAGACTGCACCACCCAAAAGCCCTGCTCTACAAGCGGGTGGCTTCTGCACCACTTTTTGGAGAAATCCTTAAACTCTAAATCCTAAGCCCGAAGCCCTCAACCCCAAACCGCGTAAAGAACCAGTAGGATCCTTCCGGCAGGCCCTCCCCGACAAGTCTGGACAACTCCCCGTACCGATCGATCACGATGTAAATCAGATTTGAGGGGACAGAAGCTACTGTGATACCCTAAACCCTAAACCCGAAGCTCAAGCTACTGTGATGTTTTGTGGGTGCATTGGGCGGAAGATGGTTCGGGGCTTACCAGGTGCCTTATACCCCAGGACAGGTTAGAGCCCAGATTTGGCTACCTGTGTCATACTTCCTGGAGTGGGCCCTATTTTAGGGTTTCGGGTTTAGGGGTTCGTCATAGTCATACACGAGAAAGATTTGTTTGCTTTGTGTTGTTCTTTTGGTGTTCCCGTGGCTTTATGCGTTTTGAGCACATGTCTTGCAACCAGAGAGTTCGGCACATCATCTGGGCGCATGTAGACAGGGTGATTTACTAAGGGTTTAGGGTTGAGGGTTTAGGGTCTGTAGACAGGGTAGTGTAGACCCCTAAGTAACAGGTACCAGTACGGATTTTGAATCCTTGTGGACTTCATTGCGAGAGTTTCAAAGACCTACCCATGAATTTTAGCAGGCTTCTGTGTTAGATATCGAAGAGGGATGTTTGATGACTCCATAATATGAGGAAATTTCAGGTGCCTTCTTTTCCCCATGTAAGCCTCGCATAGCCCTTACTATCCTATTATAGGCCTTATGTAGGGCTACCCACCTGCTACCTCTGCTCCGATGACTGGCTCTGTGAGACCCTCCTTCCATCTATGCTTTGCTATTCGTGCCACTATGATGATGAGACGGTGATATTATATACCCTCTGATAATATAGTGGCTTCCATATACGCCATTATAATATAGTATATAGTCCCGTATATACCCCATTATGATATAGTAGCTTCCATGTTCTTTTCCATTATCCCTAGAACACCTTACTACCATCACCGCTTGGCATCGTCCTTGCCTTTGGTTATGAATCTTGCAGGCAGCGTTTCTTTTGTGTCTTTAGTCAGCCTTGTTTCAAGGATGCGGAGTGCTTCTGCTGTTCCAACAGTCATCGCCACCCCCTCACGGGAGAACGTCTCCCGTGCGATAGGAAGCTGGTGTACAAAACGCTGAGGCAGTGGTACTTGGATCATTGTTGCATCAAAGGTTGTTTTTTTCTTGAACTCTTGTTTAAGGTGTTCCAGCCTCTGAAACAAGGGTTACGTTGTATGCTGCCCCTACTCATTAACAGTAGGTTAATGTGATTATACAGAGCGCTAACTGTGATCCCTATTCAAGAATGTCATTAATGGCTCCAAGGGTTATGCTATGTGCGCAAAGGGGCCCCATCATTTGCCCAGGTATGCGGGCGAGGAGGGCGACGACTATCTGGAGAGGTGTCACGGTCTGTTTGCGGTAAAGGCTAGATTGCCTTGGGGGCTTTTATGAAGTCTCTCCACTCTAAACCCTAGACCGTAGACCCTACACCCTAAACCCTAGACGCTAAACTCAAGAGAAAAACAGGGAGCTACCTGGAGAGGTTTAGCCGACTGGTTCGCGAAGACCTGGCCAAGAGCCTGGCGCCGCTGGTGAGCGGCGTCACCTTGCCATGGAACTACGCGGTCTACCTTGCCACTGGGTCTAGGGTTTGAGGTTCGGGGTTAAAGGTTTAGGGTTTAGGCCTCAAGGTGCAGTTTAGAGTCTAGCGTTTAAGGTTTAGGGTTCAGAGCATAAGGTTTAGAGTTTAGCGTTTGAGGTTTAGATTCAGGGTTTTGGGTTTCAGGTAGTTTAGGGTTTAGGGCTTAAGGTTTGGGATTTAGGGGGTTCGACCCTGGGGCCGAATTGCCAAGGCGTTTTACAGTCTTCTTGTAAATAGGAAGCTCAGGAAGCCCCTACCTGCCCTTTTAGGGTTCAAGGTTTAGGGTTTAGGGTATGGCAGCTCATGATCGGTCATAGATTAGGTCAATCCCTTCTACAGTAGTTAGCTCCTAAATATGGAGTTAATAAGGGCAAAATCCACCTACAATAGTTCTTGGTGGTACCCATTACCCAGAAACCCTAAAGGATCCAAAAGATGGAACCCCCCCAAATTCATCTCCCTACTACATTGGGGAACCCAAATAATTGTCAGGAGGTTCCCTTTTGTGGATCCTTCAGGGGGTCCCCTAAACCCTAAACCCCAATCCCTAAACCCTAAGCCCTAAACCCCAATCCCTAAACCCTAAGCCCTAAACCCTAGGTCAGCGCAAGCTCAGTTCCCTACCTTGCAGACCACATTGCACTTGGGACTCCGGGTTGCTGTTAAGAAACTTAAATAATTAAGTTACTATATTGGGGAAACCCTTTTGGGTTTAGGGTTTAGGGCTTAAGTTACTATATTGGGGAAACCTTATTATTTACTATATATACCCATTATTATGGTAACTTGACTTAAGTTCCTTAACAGCAACCCAGGATTGTCACGGCTCGCTCCCGGCTCTCCGGCTATGCCCTCCTTGCCTGGAGCCTGGGTCGCTGTTCAGGAACCTGAATTAATGTACCACCCTAAGGGTACATGGGTGGTTGTCAAAATTATGGTCCCTTTTTGGGTTCCTATTATAATACCCAAAAAGGGACCAGAGTTTTGACAACCACCCACATGTACCTAATAATTGGGTACTTGGGTTTGGGCTAATAGTAATTATAGTACAGGCTTTGGGTAAGTATATGATTTTTTGGGTACTTGGACCCTTAGGGTCAGGAACCTGAATTAATGTACCATAATGGGTATACATTAAGTGGAACCCCCCCACCCAGTAATAGCGACTATAAGGGATAATGGTGATTATATTAGGGTCCTCTTATATTCCTATTATGCCACTATTACAGGGTGGGGGGGTCCTCCTAAGTTATACATGGTAATTAATAGGATTTCCCCGATATAGTAACTTCAATTAAGTTCCTTAAAAAGCAACTCAGGAGCTTGCGCAACCTTGCAGACTGGGGAATCGTGCCTCTGGCTTGCATGCTGAGTGTAAGGGTGTGCTTGCCACTGTGGAAAGCTGGCTTACATTTGCGATGGAACCGCTTCGTGACAGCAGTGGTGCTGGACTTCATTGTTTTTTGGTTCATTGGCGCGGTTTGGGCTCCCGTGCAAATTGTGCTTGGGTTCACGGCAGATGATAATCTGCTTCCCGTGGTCATGTTCTTGGTATGGTCGGCTGTGGCGCTGGCGTTCTACTCACCCATGTGTCCCCTGGCTCTACTTGGGAAGGGGCCGGTTCATTTTCATGCATCTCTTACACGGACCGTAGTCGTTGGAACGACGTACACCCCTGATCTTGTTGAGGTTGTTCTCAAATCGGAAGGCTCATTGTTCCCTGTCAGCTGTACTTTAGACTCGTGTTTTTGTTTTCACTTGTTTTCCCACAAGGGCACCCTTATCCTACCAGCAAATGGACGCAGCAGCAGAATGTTTGCCTTCTCGTAATACCTGTATATCAGAATACCCCCTAACCCTAAATCCTAAACCCCAAACCCTAAATCCTGCACCCTAAATCCTAAACCCTAAATCCTAAACCCTAAACCCTAGACCCTAAACCCTCATGCTTATGGGAAAGTTCTCACAAGGAGCTGTTTCTATCCCTTGGAGGTCCCCGAGCAGTCATTCTTGTTTAGGGTTTAGGGATTAGGGTTTAGGGATTAGGGTTTAGGGTTTAGGATTTAAGGTTTAGGATTCAGGGTTTAGGCCCTAATCCGAAGCCACCGTGAGAGATTCTCCCTGAGGGTATCCGGAACTTGATCTCCCTTCAGGGCTTTGGGTTTAGGGCTTATAGCCCTAAACCCTAAACCCTAAACGCTAATCCCCAAGCCCTAAACCCTAGATGCTACACCCTACACCCGAAACCCTAAACCCTAAACCCTGAGCCATAAACCCGAAATCCTAAGCCCTAAATCCTAAACGCCAAGCCCTAAACCCTAAACCCTAAACCCTAAACTTAAGGTTCGGAGACTATCTCCTCTAGAGCCCACACCCTCCATCCGTGTCACCAGGCTCGGAGAAAATCGTTTGGCGCTCACTTCCCTCAAGCCGGCCCGACTTTGCTGAAGAAGAGCCGGACAAGGCGAGTAGCTAATCTTCATAGGGTTATACTAGGGTTTAGGGTTTAGTGGTTCAGGGTTTAGGGTTTTAGGGGTTTAGGGATTAGGGTTTAGGGTTTTGGGGGGTCCCCCAAAGAAATCGATGTTTTAGAGCATGTTCCAGGAGGATTTTTTGGTTGGAAAAGGAAGTCATATAAGTCAGTTGCACTTACCAAGCATGTGTCCAGGAGAGCATGGAATGGAAAGGGGAAGTCTTCAGCGTGTGAGCGCTACAAAGAGCGATTTCCGCGCGGCCTTGGGCCTCTGATCAAATTCCTTTGGCTAGAGCCCCAAACCCTAAGACCCTGCACCCCAAATCCTAAAAGCAGCATACATGGGGATTGTCCTAAATTACCCTCAATACGGGGTCCTATATTTAGGTTCCTATTATAATACGGGGCCCTATATAAATTTCTCCAGTTTGGGAACAGTAATTTAGGGAAACTTCCACATAGTGCATCAGGCCCCCACATGATGGTTGTACTTCTCAGAGGACAGCAGCCAGGACCTTGCACAGGAATCGCACTGGCTTTTCTTGTTGGGTTGCTGTTAAGGAAC